CTAGTACTACTTCTTCTTCTACTACTAGTACTAGTACTAGTACTAGTACTAGTACTAGTAGTATTGCTAGTAGTACTAGTAGTACTAGTAGTACTAGTAGGACTAGTAGTACTAGCAGCAGCAGAGTCGTCGTCGTGTCGTCGTGTCGTCGCCGTTGTGGTGGCAGTGGTAGTGGTCGTGGTAGTGGTAGGGATAGTGGTGGGGGTAGTAGGAGTCGGCGTCATAGTAAGTAGTAGCAGCGATAGTGGTAACGGCATCGGCAACGGCCCATTCATGTACACAAAACTGGCAAACCCTTGCCGTCTGTAAATACAAGAATACCCGCCTCTTCGTTATTGTAGTCGTCGTTCTCCGCCCTGTTCTTTGTACGTATGCTCTTTTGGGGGCATCTGGTTAAAGGGTTCTGATAGTAGTAATCGTGCTGCATAGGGCCTTTTTCTGGGCTCACACATCCTCAGCACAGCAAAACGCAACTCACGCTTTGCTTCTGTTGATATTTGGACTCCCCTAGGGCTTGTTAACGAAAGTGGTCGGCGTGGCGTCGTTCTGCCTTGCCTTTGACAATGACACATTCATTCAGCAGTCTAGAGTCTAGAAACCAACTCCACAAAATGGCGGCACTGATTGCGCTCGCACGAATGCTATCGTCATACCTGCGACTTCCACTACTCACACACGGGTCCAAGTTTGAAAACATGTTCGAAGCAAGATCCATGCAAGCAATTTTATACAAACGAAGCAATGGTATAATAAGTGGGATATGCTTCTACTACATTTAGGCGTGCTGACGAATGGGATCTTACTAGTCATCCCCTGCTTTCTTTCTGAGCCTGTGAGGAGATCATCTAGTGACGAACTATGCAGAACCACGCCAGCCCACGATGCCACAGCAAGTGCTGCTCGCGAGTTAGTTGAAGGTTCAAAGGCCCTTCCGAGTAGGGTCGATTTAGAGTTTAGCTTCTAGTCTTGGGTTTGGGGTTAAGGGGCTGGAAAACTGTATTTTTTAAAAGGTGCCTTGCCTGCTGTTGACAACTGTTGTAGCCTCACGTACTTGTATGCGCCCATAGAACCTTCAAGTAGTCGCGAGGCAGCTGGTACCTAGAGCTGAGGCATCGACCTCGGAAAAATTCTCAGGCTTGATGATTTCGGGGGGCCTTTCCTGGCAGGACCTTGGGTTTGAAATTTAAGTGTCGGGGTTTCGAATTTTCTGAACTGTTTTGTGAATTTCTGGTGCTTCGGGCTTACCTCAAGCCGTAGGACTACGACCCCACCGCGCAAAGTCCCTAATCTTTGAAGCCGGAACCAAGAAACCTTAAGACCTAAACCTTGAGCCCCTACACCTTTAGGATGACAACACCCTCGAAAACCCTAAAACCTTAGCCGCGCCATCCCCGAACGCAGGCTATGGACGATGGATGGCACGAGCATTTCCACTACCACCCACCGACCCTCTGTGCTGTGTGCTTTCGTCTGCAAGTTTAGGGTTTACCTGTAGCCGGAAAGACCTACCTTTTTAGGGTTCCCTATTATGGTTTCTATATATAGTTTTTGAAAAAGGTAGGTCTTTTCGGTTTCAGGTAGGGTTTAGGGAGACAGGTCGTCGTTGGTGCTTGAGGAGTTCTCCTCGCCCAGGTCCCTTCATGGGGTCCTCATGACAAGCGTGAGCAGGTGCTCTATGGGATCCAAAACAGTCTGAAATTTAGAAAGAAAGCCAGCCATAGTGTACTGTGTACCATGCGGTACATGTACATCTATACTACAAGATGCACTCTAGCTCACACATGTATCATGTCATATCATATTATATATATATATAGACATGCACAATATATATAGACATGCACAATGTACACATACTTAGACATACATACATGCATGCATGCATGCGTGCATGCATACATACATACATTATAAAAGTATATAGGCATGCACACGATGCAGTACTCGGTATCTACGTTATCATGAATGCATTATGTTTGTTTCGGCCTGAACTGAACCGCATCCAAGCCCCTAAACTCCCATGCTTCAATCCGCCGGGCTGGAGGGTCTTGGCATATGCGCACACCTCTGAGCTGAAGTTCATAAAGCACCCCGAAACTCCAAATACTTAAGCCATAACCTTAGCTTTTCAACGACTAGCGGAGAGCCCCAAGCCCCTCAACCTTGAAGCCAGAGCTGGGTGTGTTGGAAGCTGGCTTCTCAAAATGCAAACTGGCTCCGCTTCTAAGGCTTGAATACCGCCCAAAAACCTTCTACGCTGATATACACCCATCAGGACCCAATGGTAAGAACCCCGTAAACACCTCTTGTAAAACTCGTTGGAAACCTAATGATTAGTAGTAGCAGTCCCTTAAAAACCCGTGTACCATTGCACATAGTATGAAAACACCCAGAGCCCTATTCTAGTTTTTAAGGCCCTTTTATTCAACAGAGGCGGCCCTAAACCCCTAAGCCTTAAACCCTAAACCACTGCGACGTTGAGAAAAGTACAAACAGTCGAGTTCAAGGCTCTGAGCTGATGTCAGCAGCGCCTTGGGCCCGGTAGGCCTGAAGTTAAGAAGGGACAAGGCCTAGGGGGTTTTGCCAGGGAGTTCAGGGTTAAGGCGGTTTAGGGCTGTAGTGGTTTAGAGCTTATGGGGGTAGGGCGGGGGCATGGAGAGCGGTTGGGATTTGAGATGGCTTGAGGTTTTGAGTTTGTAGGATCAAGTTTTGTTTTGGCAAAATCGGAGCTTGAGTGTGGGTGTTTTGCTTTTGTGGCTCAGGTAGCTCACAAGTCAGACCATGTCCAGGAAGCGGCGAGTATCTGTAACGGGTCATGTTTTCCGCAACTGAAAAACCCTAACGCTCGTCCCTTCAATCCCACCCCGCAAAGAAGTAGGCACGGTGTTGGGCCGAAAGCAGGACATGATTCAAAGCCACAGCCGGGAACGGATGGAATGTTAGATTCTGAGTCTTTGAGGTACCGATGCTTCGTGTCCTTTCGTAGCGAGTGTGCCTACGGTTCTGCCATATGAGTTTGTACTTGGCTTTTGATCATCATGATGGCGGTGGCTGATGCCACGAAAAATGATTCTGACGATGGTGATGATGATGATGATGAGGAGGTTGACAAGCACCGACGCTGATGATGATCGGTCTGGTGATGAGGTGATGAGATGAAGCAGCAATGATATATCACCATCCTAAACCCCAGACCCTAAACCCTGGAAGGGCCCTGGTCTTCTCGCGCTGGTTGCTGAGAAGCTCATGTTCGGGTCAACAGGCTCTCCCTGATGCCGTGAAGGAACCCTGAAGGAGCCCGTAACCCTTAAATTAAAACAACCCCTAGTCAAACGAACCCCCCTAAACCCTAAACCCAAGCAACCCCTTAAAGGAACCCTTGACAAGGAATCCCTAGGCATGGACTCCACAAGGACATGAAGTACGGTTCATGATATAAATCCTGCATTACCCATAATAAGGAATATACCATAAAACCCATAGTTTAGGCTCCTTAAGGTAATGCAGGATTTATATCATCAACAGTATGACTCAGAATGACTTTAGGATTTCATTCATGGTTCTTCTGGGGCTTTTCTCAGGGTTTAGGGTTCAGGGTTTAGGGTTTGGGAGGCTTATATAGGTTTAGTCAAAATAGGCTACTACAGAGGTTCAGATGCTTTTGGGGCTCTTTCGTAGTAATAGCCCATCAGGGAACTACCAGGCCACGAATAAGACATCACCGGTGCTGAGACGAGGCTTGAGTCAGCATGCAAGGCTTGGAGATCTAGAGTTTTATATCCTACTGTAGGACTCCAGATACTTTANNACTTTAGGGTTTAGGATATATTTCTTTTGTAACAGGATGTATCTTAAGAACCTACTGTAGGACTCCAGATACTTTAGGGTTTAGGATATATCTCTCATGTAACAGGATATATCTTAAGAACCTACTGTAGGACTCCAGATACTTTAGGGTTTAGGATATATTTCTTATGTAACCCATAAACCCATTAATAAGTTAACTGCAGCGCTAGGGCTAGGTTTGGGTTCAGTGATGTTCAGTGTGTGTACCTGGGAGTCTCTCCCGGGCAATCCTCGGCACCCTAAGCCCGAGGCTTGACATCCTGAAAGCCGGAAACCCTTAGCTGGCCCTTTCGGATTTTCCGCTCATCCTTTTCAAATTTTCAAGGCAGCGGCGTGCACTGCCGAATCACGAAAAAGTGCACCGTGTTAGAGTCTTGGACAGAATCTCGTTCCCTGAGGGTCCATGTGCCCATATAGCAATATAGTATATACTTTGGCCCTAAAGTACCTAGACATTGGCGTTACTTGAAGGCCAAAGCATGTGGTATACCGCTACGTTACATGGACCCTTCGGGTTTGGGTTCAGTGCTTAAGCCTAAATGAATTTTCCAGCGCTGTGAACCCACGGAAATCAGGGCGCTTGCCCATAATCGGCTAGTAGCTTCAGCAGGCTCCATTGAACTTCAAGGTACTTTCCATAGAACCCTTATAGTAGCCCATGGTATACTTCCCATAGAACCCTTATAGTAGGCCGTAGTACACTTTCCACAGAACCCTTATAGTAGCCCTTAAAGAACACTTTCCATAGAATCCTTATAGTCTTATAGTAGCCCAGGGTAGCCCTTAAAGAACACTTCCAGTAGCCCAAAGGGATCCTCGGTGTGCCATGGCCGCGTGTGCAGAGGATGGCATCCGTGACCCTGTGACCGTCACGGAGGCCTTGGACGCTTTGGTGGTGGGATCTTTTCATGCAGGCCATTTGTTGCGGATGATATTGTTTTGGGCGGTCCTGGCCATGACTCAGGAATGTACTCCGTACCTGTTCCCCGGGTTGCGAAAGGGTTTTGAGGCGGATGATGAGAGCGTCGCTAGCTTCGCGGCTGCCTTTCCTCTGGGTTGCTGGGTCCTTGTTGGCTACAATTTTACACTTTTGCTATAACAAAACCCTAGTAAGGATTAAAAATGATCATTTTTTTAATATGGCCCCAACAGGGAGCCAGGTTGTGTTCTGGGTTCCGTGGCGGCCACCTTCCTTCTGGATCGGCTCGGCCGGCGGGGCTTTGTGGTAATCGCGAGCCCAATGGCCGTTGCCGTAAGCCTGGCCAGCATAGTGGCTCCGTCCTTCCGGATTTTGCTGGGGCTAAGGGTATTGCAGTCCGTTGTGATAGCAATTTCGAGAGCTGCGCTCAGCACGTGGTACATCGAGTTCCTGTCCACGAACTACCGTGGCACCCTCATGGCCGTGTATAGCCTTGGCTGGCCACTTGGCAGGGCTGCCGTGATCCTCACGGCTTCCATGGCAAAAGAAGACTGGAGCTTATTTATGTCCTTGAACGCTCTGGGATTTACGGCGCTCTTCATAGTCATGCACTTGTCCGAGGAGTCTCCGCGTTTCTTGGTTGCTTCGGGTAGGTTGAGTGAGGCCAACGACGTACTGACCAGGCTCTATGCCAGCAACCGGCAGGCACCATGGAAGCCGTGCTCCCAACTTTGTCTCGACAAAGCCAGCGCCGATGCTGGGCCATCGGATGACAGTCGGACATGGTCGAGGCTGTTTGGCAGGGGCAGCCGTCACTTGCTGCTCTTTGCTTGCCTGCTTTTCGCAGTCTTGGCCTCTACAACCGTTTTGCTCGACACCTGGGGTCCGGGGCTGTACCATACCCTTTTAGCACCAGAGTCTCCGCAGCTGCCCACACACATCCTTATGCTCTTCAATGTTGGTGACCTCTGTGGCATCGCCGTCTCCATCATGATTGTGGACCGCATCGGAAGGGCTGGCAGCTTTGTCATAGGCTTCTTTGTCCAAGGCATGCTGCTTGCGATCGTCGGAATTTTGGATGCTCGTGAGCCGCATCAGTACTATTTCGCAATTGTCTGTGGCACGTTGGCTGCAACATGTCGGTGCTTTGCTTGGGAATCCGCACAGATGTGGACACTTGAGGCATTCCCGACAGATCTGAGAGCCAAGGCCTTTAGTACTGCTGCGGCCGTTATGCATTCGGTGTCGATTCTATCACTCAAGGTATCTGGCCATCAAGTGCATCGTCTGACAGCTGCAAGCTGCCTGCTCTTCTTGGCTGCAATGAAGATCGCGGGCGGCTTCCTGAGTACAGGCTTGATGCCCAAAGAGACAGCAAGGGAGCCGATGACCGAGCGTCTGGGCAGTGGCACAAGGGTAGTCAAATGTTCCTGACGAAAGGTCTTGCCCTGCGTGGATCTTCCAGGGAATCGTCCCACCGCCATGCAGCTAAGTCTAGGTCGGCTTAAGGGGACTGGGCGGATGGTAGGGCTCAGTAAGTCACGTTGTAACTGCGGCTATAGTTACCTAACGTGTAGTCCGAGAGGCTACGTTCCATGATGCTTTCAGTATCCAGACAGCCTCCCGGCTAGTAGAAGTCAGCTTGCTCCGACCTCCGACTTGGCTCGCAGCTGTAGGGCCATCGACCGTCCCAAACCGCGACCACACGACACCCTTAGCCAGTGCGACAGTATCTCGGTAGTCGCTTAAGGTTGCGAAAAACCCGGAAACCGGAACCTAGAAACCCTAAACGCCCCCCCCAGGCTGTAGGTGTCTTAAGCCCCAGAGGAGTTGTAAACTCTCACTGGATTGTTTTACTTTCACCGTCGGGTTTTAGGTCAGGTTCTCGAACGCTTTAGTCACCATGTATTGTCAGCCGACCGCAATGTCGACGGCGCAGCTTTGATGCAAGGAGGGTCATGGCGGGGGGAGACCCCTAACCTCTCAACCCTAAACCCTAAGCCCTAAACCCTAAACCCTAAGCCCTAAGCCATAAACCCTAAGCCCTAAACCCTAAACCCTACGCCCTAAACCCTAAACCCTAAGCCAGAAACCCTAAGCCCTAAACCCTAAGCCCTAAACCCTAAACCCTAAGCCCTAAACCCTAAGCCCTAAGCCCTAAGCCCTAAGCCCTAAATCCTAACCCGGCCGAACCCCTAAACCCTAACCCGGCCGAACCCCTAAACCCCTCGAGCCGAAACCATTCAAACATGTCGTCCTGGGAGCCTGGCTATAGGGTTTGCCTGAAGGCTCAATGGGCTTGGCCTACTGAAGGTTAGAGATTTAGGAGTCTAGAGTTTCTGAAAATTGCAGGTACCTTGGCATAGCGGTCCTTATTTTTCAACTGCTAGCACATAATTGTTCACAGTTTCTGGTTGATTGAGGATTAGCATGTAGGGCTTTTAAGTGCTTTGGGGCTCAGGGCCCCGATTGTCGGAAATTCTCGAAATATGGGTGTTGGGCGGAACGACCAGCAGAAGCAAGAAATGTGGAACATCAGTATCCCTACGTTCCAACTTTCTTGAATACTCTTTAGGTGGGTTGGCACAGACTGACTCCATGCTTCGGGGGCAGATGCAGGAAACCCTAAACCCTAAACCCTGGCTTAGGGAGTTTTTGTTGTGCAGGGTTTCGAGCTCGGGGCTTTACGGCTTTGCGAGTTTAGGTCCTTAATTCGTAGGGAAAAGGAAGTAATGCATGGTCTGGGGTTTCATCCGTTCCTTTCTTGTAGGGCCTCTGCCACATCTTTAACCTTTGGCCTTCGGCATTTTAAGTTGAGGATGTAGGGCTGAAAGGAGAATATGCACTCATTTAGAGTTTCGGGCTCAAAATGGTCTCTGCGCATACTTCGGCTTCACATAAAACCCTCAACTTTCACTTGTGGTGTAGTTCTGCAGACTAGGCCAGAGACGTGTAGAGGTTTTGCCGTGTTTAGCTTAGGCTGAGGGTTACACTAAACACATAAGGTGTCTAGCCCAAAGGCTCAGAAGCCCTGTTCGTATCATCAGAGCTGGAATTTTAGAGTCTGAGATGTGTTCAAGAGGTTTAGAGGGTTTAGGGTTTAAGGCGTAGGGTTCAGGGTTTAGGGTTTAAGGGTTAGGCTTTAGGGCTTAGTGTTTATTAGTATGTGTCTGAGACAAATGATTATAGTACGGAGCCTTAGTAAGCCAGGCTGCCCTCGAACCCTAACTGCGGTTTAGGGTGCTCGGCTTTGGTTTAGGGGTTACGGGGTTTAAGCGTTTCGGGCTTATGGGGCTATAATTAGGCCCCATAGCCTAATCACAGGGGTTCAAGATTTAGGCAGTAGGATCTCGGACCGTCAACATGGAAAGACGAGACTGCAAAGGTACTACCAGCCGGCCGCAATGTCGCCGGCGCAACTTCGATGCACTGACTGCACTGTTTCCACAGGGAGCTTCTGAAAGGGGCCAGGAAGCCTATCACTCCCCATGCGCAAAGTAGGTGTTTACATACTCGCAGCAGCCAACGACGGGTTTTGCAATTCTGGGTCCTGGGCCTGCGTAAAGCCCGCACTCTACCAGCCATGTTCAAGGTTGGTATATGGCCTCGACAAGCTTTTTTCCAAGCTCCGCACCCCACAAAACCGCGTACATGCCGGAAAGAAGCTGAGCCCAAAGAACCCTTCAGAATCTTCCAAAAGCCTTCTGCCTTTAACCGTAAACCCCAGTATAGAAGCCTAACTTTTGACAAACGCAATATTATTCCTTGGGAGTCGTCAGTCTGTATCATACATAAGTATACAGTCGAAACCCGATTCTAAGTGAGAAGGCGCCCCTAGCCCTGGCCCATCCCAACCTATATCTTGGGTTTAGGATTTAGGATTTAGGGTTGAGGTTTTCCTGTCCTAGCCCTGGCCCACCCTAAACCCTAACCCTAAACCCTAAACTCTAAACCCATCCTAACCTAAATTCGGAGTGCCCGCTCCCCAAGGCTCGCGAAAGTACAGGCCTTAAGGATTGAAGTGTGTCTGGTTCACCGGCTTCGTTTAGGGCTGTAGGACGTTGGCCTTCAAGAGCTTTGTGGGGTTTAGGGTTTAGGGTTTAGGGTTCAGGGTTTAGGGTTTAGGGTTTATGGTTCAGGTTTCGTGCTGTAGGGCTTCAGCCATGCAGTTCGGGTTTCAGGCTTCGGGGCTGTAGGGCTGTACATACGGGGGTTAAGCTTTGTTGTATTTCCACGTTTAGGCTTTCCCTTTAAGAAAGATATGTTGGTAGTCAAGGGTTTGAGGGGACTTCGGTTCTCAAGCAGTTTTGCAAAATCGTTTGTTAGGGGTGTGTGTTTTTTGCTTGTTTGCAGGAGGTTTTGGGGCTGCAGGGTATAAGGATTGCAGACAGAGTGCCGGGGTGGGTGTCAAACATCTGACTGCTTGCAAAGCCTGCAATCCCCAACGCGGACGCTGCTTGTTGCGACTTCCTGTTCCCCTGGGCAAGGATTTCGACAAGATTGTTTTACATCCTGGGTTGACTGTAGGCTAGGTCCCTGAGTAGTACCCTTTTGCCCTTTTTATGTTAGGGCCCCCTTACTAAAACCGGATAGTAGGAAAACGGGTAAGCTGATAGATTTGCAGGCCCAGCGATCGAGTCAGCTGAACGGCCTGTTGGCCGTCATTGCCCTAGAATCTGCTTCTAATCCCTCAACCCTAAACCCTAAACCCCTAAACCCTAAGCCCCTAAACCCTAAACCCTATAAACTTTAGAGCCTGAACCCCAACACAGCGAAGCCTGCAGCATTGGCTTTCATGGAGGGCCTCAGGTTTCATGAGGTTTTGGACCTGACTGGAGCGCATTGGCCCGCGACCCCCGGTTTTCTGATAGTTGTTGAAACCGGCCCCTAAACCCTAAAGCCACTATACACCCTAAACCCCTTATCCCCCTAAACCTTAAACAAACCCTAACCCCCATTAAACCCTAACTAATCCGACAACCTTAAAGGTCCCTCCCCTCGCCTCCCCTCCCCTCCCCCCCCAAAAACCCTCAGTCTCGTTAGGCCCTCATAGGAAGCAGATGTTCCGGACACAGATCCAGGACCACTCCGCTGCCGTATACGCAGCCCGTGACGTACATGCAGCCGTCGGACACCCAACGCCTGGCTCAGGTTAAGAGACTTCTAATAGTACATTTCTATTATATCTATATATATATATATAGATATAGATATAGATATAGATATAGATATAGATATAGATATAGATATAGATAGATATAGATATACACATTACTAAGACTATGTATAATTGTATTTCAGTGTATTCATCAGAGCAAGAGTAACAACAGTAATGCTTACAAACAATCCAACAACCATCGTAACAAGTTACGCAATACTACTATCAGAATGCTCGCTCGCATTCTGATAGTAGTATTGTATAGCTTATTATGATGGTTGCTTTTTGTTCATAAGTACTACTATGGTTGCTAATACTGAGCCTAGTTAATGCTGCCCTGAACCCTGCACCGTAAGCTCTTGAGCTATCAGTTTTGGGGGTTTGGGCGACATGTGCCCGAACCCTATTTCCCTAGGGTTTACCTGGACCCCAAAAGTATGTAGAATAATAGCCTTTTATGGGTTTTGGGCCATTATTTTAGCTACTTTTGGGTGTTTAGGTAGGGTTTAACGCTTGGGGTGGCAGGTTGAGTGCCTTTTTGCGGGGGGTCGGAACCTTCGGGCGCAAGCTGATTTCCTCAGGGCAACAGAGATAACAAGAGGAAGGCCTCGCATCCCAAAGTACCCTACCAAATACAGTGTTCAGTGAGGCTTGTGGCTCAAACTTGCAACTCAGGTTTTGCAGTTTCGAGAGTGTCCTTCGCATAAGTCATGAGCCGTTCTCGGAGTGAAATAGTCAGGGTTCAGTGTCTAACATAAGCTATTCTTGCAGGTGCATATTGCACACATGCAGGTAGTCAAATTGTCAAACTACCCAGCCCAGTTAACTATGACCATCTACGACCATTATTTTTCAAACCACCTCCTCCAGTGGTGAAAATAGAGCATTGTTGAATAGAGTCCTTTTCGGCGCACTTTGGGACAGAGAAATAGTAATAGTAATAATAAGAAGAAGAATAGTAATAGTAATAATAATAGTAATAGTAATAATAATAATAATAACAAAGTTCCCTGCTGACCAAGCAGCGAGTTCGGTTTCACTCGGTTGAGTCACTTCACGGCCCCGCTGCATGGCAGTGAATCTTAGAGCTTCCGTGTTCTAGATATTTCGGTTTAGAGTTTAGGGTTTAGGGTTCAGGGTTTTAGGGTTTAGGGTATTTCTTGGGACTTTCCGAAAATTAGGGTACCTTCTTTTGGGGTCCTTCTAAATAAGGATCCTACTATATGGGGTGCTATATTAGGGTCCCCTGTTTTCGGAAAGTCCCATACTTCGCAGT